ACTCCCATGTAGTCCGCGGTTTAAGTTCCATACCTGGGAGAGTGGATAATACACTGGGCACATATGCACGTGTGCCCAAAATCCCTAGAGAAAGGAGAAGAGATTGTGGCATGGTCATCCCCTCTAGGTAGTGATTTCTCACTTTCTCTTCGCTTGCACATTTATTTTAAATGAAAACTATAAAAAATTTTTTAAAGAATTATTTTATTTAACTTTATTTATTATTATTATCATTGTTATTTTCCAGTTTGATCAGAGAGAGACAGAGAGAGAGAGAGGAAGTGAGAAAGCAAGCCACCAGGTCCGAGACTTGAACCATGGTCGGCCATGTGGGAATCCAGCGCCCTTAACCACCATGCCACTTGCCAGCCCCAACTATAAAAAAAATTTAAATTAGGTTATTTAACCTAATTTATTTTATTTATTGTATTTATTTATTTATTTTAATTTGACTGGACAGGAACACAGAGAGAAGTGAGACAGCAAGCCGCCACATCCGGGACTTGAACTGTGTTCGGCCCTGTGGGAGTCTAGCACCTTTAACCACCACGCCATCTGACAGCCCTGAAAACTTTGTTTTAAAAAATTGTTCTTTCTTCTCTACTCAGTTTCTCTCTGTCCTTCATTCTTGGGTCCTTGTTGTGTCGCTAGTGGTTTTGAAATTGTTTCTATCTGACCTCACATCCCAGGTTATAACTATGTTCTTGTTTTATTTTTGCTATAGGGCATGTGTACTCTCCAGAGAGAGAAAGTGAGAAATCACCTCCTGAGAAGAGATAGTCACACTTCAATCCCTTCTCCTTTATCCTCCTCGGGGGTTTGGGCTACACAAGCATGTACCTGACTGCTTTTCAAACTTTTCAAGCTCCCAGGTCCCAAACTCATACTGTAAAGTTGGCCATGTGACGGGCCAGTAGGTGGAGTCGTGGTTAAGGAACTGGACTCCCACATGGCTGACCATGGTTTGAATCCCGGATCCGGAGGTTTGCTTTCTCACTTTCCCTTTCTTTCTCTCTCTGGTCAAATTAAAATAATAATAATAATAGCAAATAAAATTACAGAAATAAAATAATTCTTCAAAAACAAACAAACAAACAAACAAACAAAAACGTTGGCTGTGTGGGATCCAGCTACCTTAAGGACCACATCAGAGACTGGCCCTAACTAGGTCTTTCATGATGGTGTGCAGGAGTGACTCTGGCTATCAGAGCTCACATCTGAGAGAACTTAACATTCACCGTTTGTAGCCAACATCTGTGTCCATCTGCTCCCTTGGTCTACAGCTCACAATGAGGTGTGATCATAGGATTGGAAGGCAGCATTTTTATGTGACTGTTCACTTTTTTTAACTAGCTGATGGATTTCATTGCTTATTTTGAATTCTATCATGAAGCATTTTTGTCCTATTACACTGCCGGAGGCCAATCTCCTGGCCTTCAATTCCTCCTTCTAAGTTCAAGACTACATCTCCTGTGGCCTAGACTGGCTCACCACTCTCTGTTCTAGCTCTGGTCCATTCAGATATTTACCTTTGGGGCCAGCAGGTGGCATCGTGGTAAAGGCACTAGACTTCCACAAGGCCAATCACAGTTCAAGTTCTAGACCCAGTGGCTTGAAAATCACACGGGCAAGTGTACCCCAAATACCAAGGAGAATAGGGGTGAAGGGACTGTGGCATGGCCATCCCCCCAGGGGGGTGATTTCTCATTTTTCCCTCTCACTGTCTCTCTCCAGTGAGCACACATGTGCTATGGCAAAAATCTTAAAAAAATAAAAATGGTATTTACCTTCTATCTGTGCCTTACTATGCTTTTGCTTTTCTCTTTTTACATTTTATGTATTTTTTAAAAGAATTATTTAATTTTAAATTTATTTATTTGTTATAATTTTCCAGTTTGATCAGAAAGAGATAGAGAAAGAGAAAGAGGGAAAGTGAAAAAGCAAGCCACCAGGTCTGGGACTCAAACCACTGTCAGCCATGTGGGAGTCCAGTGCCTTTAACCACCATGCCACTTCCTGGCCCCCATTTTATATATTTTTGTAAATTATTAGAGCAGAGCAAGTATATCAAAGCAAGGAGGGACTTACTCACCTATGATACATTTCTTCTTGTGAAGAGCTAACACACATTAAAATAAAAAACCTTGATTTTTGTTATTGTCATTACATGTATAATGTACAAGTCAGAAAGCTTCAAGTCTATTTATCAAGTTGCATAGTAAGTTTTCTGTTCGTTTTTTTATTCAATGTCATAAATTATTTAGATGCATTCTTCAGCATGCACAAAACATCTCTGAATAAAAGACTAGACAAAGGGCAAAGATGTTCGGAATAATTTAAGTGTTTAACTTAAGTAGGTTTCTATAAATGTATAGTAAGGCAACTAAAAATGCTACTTTAGATAATCTTCACCTCTTCACATGTCCCCAAATAAAATAGCATAGCACCCTGATGATGGATGACATCAGAGCTAACTTACATCAATTTCAAGGATAAAGGAGCAGATATTTATAACACAGAAATTTGAAAACAGTATTAATTATGTAAATATTTATAAGCCTCTTGTAGTCAAACGCTGTGTATTCCAAATAAGAGGATGGCAAAAACAGAACAATGAAAAGACTTAGTCAGAGACAAGCAAGAAAATGTTAGAAGGTAGAGCTCCTTTATTTATTCATTTATTTTTGTTATAGAGTGTGCTTACTCGCCAGAGAGAAACAGTGAGAGGGAAAGTGAGAAATCACTCCCCAAGGAGGATAGACACACTACAATTTCTTCCCCTCCATTGTCCTCCTGGGCCTTTGGGCATGCATGCGCAAACACACCAGGTCAGGCCATGTGGGAGTCCGGTGCCCTAACCACTATACCACCTGCTAGCCCCAGTCATCTTTCCTTCTTTCTTTCCTTCCTTCTTTCCCTCCCTCCCTCCTTCCTTCCTTCCTTCCTTCCTTCCTTCCTTCCTTCCTTCCTTCTTTCTTTCTCTCTGTCTTTCTCTCTATTTCTTTTGAGATGTTTGCTATAGGGTGCATTGGTGTTCACTGGAGAGACAGAGAGAGACAGAAAGACAAGAAGCATGAAATCACTGTCTCCCTCCCCACCCCCCGCCAGGAGTGATGGCAACACAGCAATCCCTTGTCATTCATTCTCCTGTGGAGATTTTGGGCATGAACATGTGCCCAGCGTGAGTTTTAAACACCAGGTCCAGGATTCAAACCACAGTTGACTACATAAGAGTCAAGCGATGAAACCATTACGTCATCTGCTGGTCCCCCCAGTCTCCTTGTTTCTAAAACTACTCATTGCAAAATAGAAAGAGCATTTCACACATTCTCTTCATCCCAATCATTATGATTGCAGTCTCTTTTCAAAGTAAGAACAATTGTAATACCTGGACATAAACATGTAGACCTGCTTAATTGTGTTTTTCCAGGAATATAATAGAAATCAGCACGAATGTGTGGAATAGAAAGAGTATTTGTAGTTAAGAGTGAAAGCACATAAAATCATAAATTATTTTTCATAGAGATAGATGATAAATTCATTACAAAAGTTTACCTGAGAAAATGTTTCCTTTTCGTCTTCCAGTAGAGACTGGGGTGCTGATACAAAATCCTTTTTCTCGCAGCTCTCCTGGCTGATGAGCGTGTCCGCGTAGTTGGGCTGCGGGAAGATCAGGTGGCTCTTCCGTGAGTCCGCGGTGAGGGAGACCTCGTGGGAATAGGTCTGCAGGAAAGCCCGCACCCCGTCCACGCCCACGAAGTGTGAGGCCGGCACACTTGTCAACCTGCCACTTGCAGCCTGGAGCAGGCGTGATGAGTGCCAGCGCCGCAGCCTGAGCGCCAGCAGCACAATGACAAAGGCCAGGAAGACGCAGGAGACCACAGCCACAGCCACCACCAGGTACAGTGTGAGGCCTGAGTCATCGGGGTGGACGGGAGACTCCAAACTGCCCAGGTCTGCCAGGACATCCGGAATGCTGTCGGCCACTGCCACAGTGAGAGTGACGGTAGCTGAGAGAGGGGGCTGGCCATGGTCCTGGACGGCCACCAGGAGGCTTTGCTTGAGCGCATCTCTGTCCAACAGGACCCGTGCTGTGCGCACCTCACCCGTGTGCAGCCCCACAGTAAAGAGCCCCGGCTCGCTGGCCTTGAGCAGGCGGTAGGACAGCCAGGCGTTCTGGCCTGAGTCTTTGTCCACTGCCACCACCTTGGTCACCAGGTAGCCGGGCTCTGCAGAGCGGGGTGCCAGTTCCACACCAGTGGAGCCATCTGTGGGGATGGCAGGGTACAGGATTTCAGGGGTGTTATCATTCTGGTCCAGCACAAACAGGCTCAGCGACACGTTGCTGCTGAGTGGTGGGTTCCCACTGTCACGTGCCATCACTCTCAGCTGCAAGTCCCGGAACTGCTCATAGTCGAAGGATCGCAGTGCGTACAAGACCCCAGTATCGGAGTTGATGGAGAGGTAAGAGGACAGGGGCGCCCCTTGGATGGTGTCTTCCACCAGGGAGTAAGTGACTTGCGCATTCTCATTGCTGTCTGCATCATCGGCCTTCACAGAGAAGATGGAGGCGCCTCTGGGGTTATTTTCAGGGACGTAGGCAGAATAGGAGTCCTGGTGGAAAGCTGGGGGGTTGTCGTTGATATCAGTCACTTGCAGATAAATATGACTGTCAGTAGATAGAGCCGCGGTCCCCTGATCTGTTGCGGTTACTGTGATGTTGTACTCAGAAGTAAGTTCTCTGTCTAGTGTTCTTTCTGTCACTAAACGGTAATAATTATCAACTAATCGTTCCAATTTAAAGGGTAGATGTCCAGGAATGGAACATGTAGTGCGGCCATTTTCTTCAGAGTCCTGGTCATGTACATTGATAAGAGCAATTATGGCCCCAGGAGGAGAGTTTTCTGGGACCGTAGTGGTGACAGAGGTGATGCTCACTTCCGGGGCATTATCATTTACATCCAAAACTTCCACCAATACCTTAGCTCTAGCCATGAGTCCAGCGCCGTCCTGAGCTTGAACTTCCATGGAATACATGTTGTACTCTTCGAAATCTAGGGGCTCCTTGTTTGCTATTTCTCCTGTGTAAGAATTCAGCTGAAATATTTGGGCCACTCTGTGGTCTACATTGTGAAAGGAGTACGTTACTTCCCCATTGGCTCCCTCGTCTGGGTCGGTGGCATTTACTATGAGTAGCCTAGTGCCCAGTGGCACGTTCTCTGAGATTCTCGTGCGGTACTGAGCCTGGGTAAATGCTGGAGGGTTGTCATTCGCATCCACCACCTGAACGCGAATGCGGAGGGTTCCTGAACGGACTGGGTCACCCCCATCAGAGGCAGTAAGAACAAGGTGGTGGACAGCTGCTGCTTCTCTGTCCAGGGGGCTCTGCAGCACCATTTCTGGGTGTTGGGGCCCATCAACTCCCTGTTGCACATCCAGGGAGAAATGAGGATTGGAGCTGAGCTGGTAGCTCTGGAGTGAGTTTATACCCACATCAAGGTCTTGCCCAAAGGGCAGAGGGATCCTGGTACCTGGAGTGGTTATTTCATTCATTTTAAATTCCAGTTCCTCTAACTGGAATTGGGGAGTGTTGTCATTAATATCAATTATTTCCACTTCCACAGGGAAAAGCTTCATTTTATCTTCTACAAGGATGTTAAAACTCACCAGACACCGCGCGCTCTGAGCGCAGAGCTCCTCCCGGTCTATCCTGCCCGCGGTGACCAAGCTGCCGCTTCGCGGGTTCAGAGCGAAAAGCTGCGTCCTACCTCGGGAGACGATGCGGACTCCGCGCTGCGCCAGCTCCGGGGGCTCCAGCCCCAGGTCCTGGGCGATGTTGCCCACGAAGGAGCCTTTGTCTAATTCCTCGGGAACAGAGTAGCGGATATTTCCAGCCCTGGCTTCCAACAGCTCCAAAAAAAGGCACAACAGCATCAGCCCACTGCTCCTGGTCAGCTTCCCCCGAATCGTCATTGCTGTCGCGTTGTAGTTTTCTCCAGCTCAGTACCGAAGATACTGTTTCTCTGCTTTTATGAGCCCCAATTAACCCAATTTTCATGAGAATTTTGAGCGGAGAGCAGTTCAGAAGTAGGGCTTGAGAGGCTTTAGGGACACTATTTTCAATCTGGCTGTGATGGAGGTAAGGCGCACAAGGTATTTTTTATTTTTTTGTGTGCGTGTGCGTACTGCCTGTATCGCCCAGATTGGTGAACAGCGGCGCCCAGAGTCCTAACCAGTTACTGCACTCCTAGAAAATAAACTTTCTCCTCTAACTTGATAACTCTTTTCTTCCGTCTTAATTTATTGTCAAGGAAATGGTTGATGATCTGTAATATGTGTATGAAAAGTAGAAGCTACTAAGTTTATTTACTTAAGTGTATCTAAATACCACTAAATTGCAGTATACAATAGAAACCCAGCGTTCCCAAGGAGCGCTCTGCTTCCCCTGTTTGCCATTCAGGAAATAATAGCAAAGAGCTCTCTAATGTCACAAAGAGGACAAAAATCACCCCTCCACCTTTTCTGCAGTATAGCTTGACCAGTTGTTATTCCCAGGTTCCATAAACGGGCAGCTTCCCTTGGAATGAGGATTTTTTTTTTTTAATTGGGAAAAACAAACTTTTAGAATGTAAGTCAGACTTTTAAAAATTGAACCATTCCATTTTCTTTCCATTGCGTATTTGTCAGAAACCCTGGAATTTTGAAGAACATGTTTTCATCCTATCCTTATTTTTCCTGTTTTTCTGAGGCATCTAAGCATTATGTGGTTTTTTCAAAGTTTTTGTAATTTACCCAAAGGTAATACATGTTGAGTAAAATGACATTGAGGTCTTGGAATTTTTCTGGGAAAAGACCACATGAGTATGTAATTTAGACTTCAAACTGAAGAGAAGAGAGGTTATGGTATTATTATTCATAACTGAAAAAGAAAAAGGCCATAACTTCTTCATTTTTAGACATACATTAGGATAAAATGTGTCTCTTACAAACACACCTATCCTTTTCCACAAGAAAAGTTGGTCTTGAGAAGAAGCCACGGGCCTTCAGGATAAGGTTCCACATGGCTACTGTGAACTAGATTTTTAAGGGAATGAAGACTTTCTACTAATAACTCAGCCTCCAACAAAAGAGCTAGCGGCAGAAGAAGCCACGGGCCTTCAGGATAAGGTTCCACATGGCTACTGTGAACTAGATTTTTAAGGGAATGAAGACTTTCTAGGAAAGAGAAAAGCAAGCCACCAGGTCCACAGACTTGAACCATGGTTGACCATGTGGGAATCCAGTGCCCCTAACCATCAGACCACCTGTCGGTCCCAGTAGTAGTATTTTTAACTAGGAAGATAATGATGTTCCCTTCCTTTAAAAATTCATTGCAGTATTAGTAAAAGGTTACTAACTAAAATATGTCAGGCTTAGAGTTATTGATCTCTACCCAAAAGTTAGAGAAGTATGCTATCTACATTCTAGGATTGGACATTTTCAGGAAGAAATTGAACCAGATATTGGCAGCCAACCCATGGATACCATAACTGAGAAAGGTTCAGAAAGTGAGGAAAGAAAAGAAAGAATCAAAGACCATTTTCTTTAAAATTCAAGACAATTTAATTGCCAGAAGGCACATGTGCTTGCAAGAGAGACAGAGAACCCCCAGTGGGGCATGTTCATGCCACAATCTCTTTTCCTTCATGTCTCTTCCCCATTAGGATTTTTGGCACACAAAAACACGCACCTGATATGTTTTCCAAGCTATGGGGAGACCAGGATTCAAACCCAGGGGTTGGTCTTGTGAGATCTGACTCCTTTAACCATTATGTTATGGGGCTGGCCCAAGGTAGTTCTGAGAGGATTTCTGTTCTCATATAGCCAAATCCAGTTCCTCAGCTTCTCAGAGAAGTACATGGAGCCCAAGGTAAAAACTTAAAGATGAAGCAAATGGACTTCAATACTGCAAGGCTGAGACTTTTTAACAGGACGTACAACTTCAGAATATACATTAATAAGCAGACACTTCCCCCAGAAGTGGAGGTGATGAGACCAATCAATCAAAATACACACAATGCTACCAAGTAAATGTAAAACTCCTCAACCCCCAACAACAAAAGCATGACCGATTTATAAAAGGGTGATATATAAGAAACGAAAATGTTAAAACTCACATGTATACATGTGAATCCAATGGCACATCTAAGGCTTCACTGCTGGCACTTCAGTGAATATCCAGTTGAATGATGTTCTTGAGTTACTTTGAAGAAAATAAGGTTTTGTCATGTCTGAAGCCACGCAGAGATTGTAGGAACAGGACACATCTCCCTTTGTTAAAGTTGGGGGCAATGCCAAGTCTGTAGGCTGGGGCTGAAAGCAGTTCCAAGAGATGGGGCTAGGTGAGTGTCCCAGGATCAGGACCATGATGGCTAGAATCACCTCGAGGAGGAAAAGCTTGGAGATCAAGGCCAGGCTGCCACCAGGTAAAACTGCAGCTTGGTATGGTGCTGCTCAAGAGCTGAGG